TGAGGAGCAAACCGCAGTCACGGATAACTGGGGAGCTGAGATAGCTACATCGCATCCACCTACCTTCGATATATCCAGAGACAACACAACGGTAAGCTCACTAAATTCCTGAATCGTCAGTCCTCATTCCCTTTCAATTGTCTCCTTAATTCTTTCACCCCTCATTCACAATGGTTGAATTAACTGAAGCTCAGAAGGCTAGACGTGCCGTTCTCATCCAAAATCGCGGTCAACTCAAAGGCAGAATTACTAGGCTGACAAATTACTTAGAAAAATCTGGAGTTTACGCAGATCCAAGTATGATTGATCGCCATTTAGTGAAAATCGATGAAGAATTGAATAATCTAGCAAACATTGAACACGAGCTTACAACACTAGAACCCAATGTGAATCATAGTGAAGAGTCAGAGAATATCAGGTTTGATTATGAGGATATGCAAGTACTAATCAGAAAATTTAAAGAGCCCAATCGCGAAGCCACTATAATGGGTCAGACTAGCTCAGCAGAACGCACCAGCTCATCGACTTCGTGTGCAAAACCAACAGATTACCTCTCTTCACTTCCAAAAGTAGAGGTTAAAAAATTTGATGGAAAATTAGAGAACTTTCGTCCCTATAGAGACTGGTTCCGTAAATTCATTCATGATCGTGAGGGCTTATCAGATTCCCAACGATTCGATTATTTTAAGAGAACACTCACAGGAGAAGCCGAAAAAATGATCAGTGCATTCCAGACAACTGACGAAAATTATGCAGTTGCATGGGATTTATTCGACTCCACTTATAATGTCGAGTACATTCTAGTTTTTCGCCACTGTGACCTCCTTTATGACACTCCAGTAATGAAGAATAGTTCTCCCGAAGAAATTCGAAAATTAATTAATCATATCCAGACTCAGATTCTTGCCATGAAAGCACTAGGTGAAAAGGTTGAAAATTGGAATACCCTTATTTCTCACATTATCATGAGAAGGATGGACAAGGACACCGAGAGAGAATGGAACAGGTCAAAACAGGGTAATAAAATCCCAGATTATGAAGACCTTTTAAAATTTCTGAGGGAACAAGCAACTCATCTCACTTCCACTAGGATTTCAAGAGGGAATCACAGTGCTTCTCCAAGCACTTCTCAAAATAAATCAAAAAATGGAAACAATAAAGGGAACAATGGACAAAGGGTTCAATCGATGCTCACTGGAACAGACGCAAAAAACTGTCCAAAATGTAAAGAGCAACATGCACTCGATAAATGTGAGAAATTTCTTGCATTAAGTGTTCCAGATCGAATCCAGACGGCCCGGAATTCTTAATTATGCTTGAATTGTTTCCGTAATGATCATAAAACTCGTTTTTGCAAGGCAGTCCCATGTTCAACCTGCCAAAAACGACACAATGCCCTAGTTCATTTACAGGGCGAAGATTTGAAAAACTTCCAGGCATCGTCGGCATGACTAGAGCCGACCACTGCCTCAGATACATCTGCTGTATCAGTTCTTGTCGCCTCTCTTCCTAATAGAGACGTCATCGTTACCGCAGTCTTAAACGTTCTGAATGATGCCAAAAGACCTATACGTTGCCGTGCCATCTTAGATACTGGAGCAAGCTCCAATTTCATGACAGAAAGTTTGGCAAACAAATTAAAATTACCACTGGAGAAATTAGAGCTCCCAATCGAAACACTGATTAATACCGATTGCTCAACAAACTATGTGGTCACAGCAACTATTAATTCCAGACTGAATGGATATGCCAGGACACTCAGTTTTTTAACTGTCCCAATGATTGGTAAATTATTCCCCATGCAGTCAATAAATCGGAATAATCTAGGTATCCCAAAGCATTTGCAGTTAGCAGATCCAACCTTCGATCAACCAGCACCTGTTGATATTCTTCTCAGTGTGGGTACGACACTCGCCTCAATTTGCCAAGGTCAAATTCAGTTAAATGGCCCCGATGACCCAGATTTAATTCTTCAAGAGACTCGTTTCGGTTGGATCATCGGAGGAAGCAAGTTGTCTGCAAATTCACCCACCGAGAAATATCCAGTCCAGACGTACATCACTTCCATTGAAACGGAATTAAAAAACTTTTGGGAAATGGATGACTTTCAAACAACAAAACATTGGTCCAAGGAGGAACAAGCCTGTGAAGAACATTTTAAGAAGCATATCACTCGTGATGTAAACGGGCGATATATCGTAGCCCTACCGTTCAATGGCAAAGAAGCTGATTTGGGAAATTCTCGTGAATCGGCAAGGAAACGATTCAAATCATTATTGAGAAAATTTCAGCGTAACCCCGAACTAGAAAAACAGTACACTGCAGTAATGCAAGAATATATTGACCTGGGTCACATGTCGGAAACGCTAGAAGATGCCCAAGCAGAAAAAGGTTTCTACCTGCCACACCACGCCGTCGTAAAGGAAACGAGCCTCACTACAAAGGTTCGGGTCGTATTCGATGGATCAGCCAAAGGGGAGAATTCTTTATCCCTCAATGACACACTTATGGTTGGGCCCACAATACAAGACGACATATTTTCCTTACTGACCCGTTTCCTCACGCATCAGTACGTGATTACAGCTGACATAGAAAAAATGTATCGGCAGTTTTATGTCCGTGAAGAAGATCGGAAGTATCAACGGATTTGGTGGAAAGATACTGATGGAAATGAGAAAATATTTCAATTAAATATAGTTACATTTGGTCTTTCCTCAGCCCCATATTTAGCAATCCGTTGTGTACACCAATTGGCCGATGATGAAAGTCTCGAGTTTCCCAATGCCTCAAACATTTTGAAACGAAATTCATATGTCGATGACTTCTTATCAGGCGCTGATACATTCGAGGAAGCACTACAGCTGCGGGATGAAGTAACCGCATTGTTACAAAAAGGACAGTTAAATCTACGCCAATGGGCTTCCAATGATCCAAGACTTCTATACGGATTACCGGAAGAAAGTGTAAATTTAAAACTCAATATGTCCCATGACTCAACAATTAAGACTTTGGGTCTTCACTGGGACTCAGCTAGAGATGCGATTGTCTACACTGTGAAGCCAATTCCAATTACTGCTAAAGTCACTAAACGAACGATGTTATCAGAGGTTTCAAAAATATTCGATCCTCTAGGATTTCTTGGTCCTGTGATTATCAAGGGGAGAATGATACTCCATCGTTTGTGGATCGAAAAATTGGGTTGGGACGACGCCATTCCTCTTAGCATTCTTACAGAATGGAGAACGTATGCCAGTCAATTAATTGATTTGAATGATTTGTCCTTTGATCGAAAGGTGATCATTTCTGAAGCTACAGAAATACAGCTGCATGGGTTTTGTGATGCCAGCTTGAAAGGATACGGAGCGTGCATTTATCTACGTTCAACAGACATTCAAGGAAAAACACAAACACGACTCCTCTGTTCAAAATATCGCGTTGCTCCAATCAAACCTCCTGTAATCGCTCGCTTGGAGCTATGCTCAGCATTATTATTATCCGATCTTTATGTAGCCGTCAAGCAAGCTATCACATATGAGTTGCATCGAATCATATTTTGGTCTGACTCAATGATAGCTTTGCATTGGATCAAGACGTCTCCTCATAAATTATTAGTTTTCGTGGCTAATCGAGTCGCTGGCATACAGAAGAAAACAGATGGTGCTGAATGGCGACACGTCAGAACCAAAGACAATCCTGCAGATCATATTTCGCGAGGCTTATTCCCCAGTGAGTTCACTGACGAATTAAATTGGAAGTTTGGACCAGCCTGGCTCTCAGAAAACGAAGACACCTGGCCAAAAAGTGAACTCACAATTCTACCTGAAATCCCTGAAATGCGAAAAACTCAATGCCTACTCACTGATTCAGAGAATGTAAAAGAAACTGAGACTACCTCTGAAATAAAACCAGCGGAAAAGGTGAAGAAAGCTAATTGCGATATACCGTACATTTTACGGTATTCATCAATCGGACATCTTCGGAGATTATTTGCTATTGGTTTACGTTTCAAGAATAAATTAAAAGGTCCACTTTCTGCTTTTGAATTAATTCAAGCGAACTACCAAATTATTAAGGTTTTACAAGAGTCAACATTTTCAGTGGAGATGAAGGAAATAAGAAAAAATAAAAGATTACCACATAATCATAGATTGAGAAAACTGGATCTCTTTCTTGGTAAAGATGGCTTACTACGTGTCGCAGGACGTTTGAAGAAAGCTTCTATTCCTTACGACCAAAAACATCCCATGTTAATTCCAAAGGGACATCATGTAACCACTTTACTCATTAGAAATGAACACCTTACAAATCATCACTCTGGAGTTCAGACTACTTTATATGCTCTTCGAAGGAAATATTGGCTAGTTGACGGACGTCACCAGGTACGCAAGGTTATTCAAAACTGTGTCACCTGCATCAGAGCCAACCCTCCAAAGAGTGACTATATGATGAGCAATCTTTCTACTGCTAGAGTGACAGAAGCTAAGCCCTTTAGCAACGTGGGAGTCGATTATTGCGGTCCTTTTTATGTAAAAGAAAAGAAGCACCGTAACAGAAATCGAGTTAAAGTATGGGTCGCTGTCTTTGTATGCTTTGTGGTCAAGGCCGTTCATCTAGAGGTAGTTACTGACCTGACTACCGAGGGTTTCATTGCAGCCCTAAAACGTTTCGTCGCTCGCCGAGGAAAACCAAGAAATATTCATTCGGATAACGGCAGCAATTTCATCGGAGCCAGTAACGAGATCAAAGAGTTGTATTCTTTTCTCCAATCAAAGGAACATAATGATAAAATACATAAGCATTTAGCAGACCAAGGAATCACCTGGCACTTTATCCCACCCTTGTCGCCCCACTTTGGAGGACTTTGGGAAGCTGGTGTCAAATCTTTCAAACACCACTTAAAACGCATTTGTGATGATTTAGTTACCTTAGAGCAATTTAACACTCTTGTGATCGAGATCGAAGCAATTTTAAACTCCCGTCCTCTCACTCCTATATCCACCGACCCTAATGATTTAATTGTTCTTACTCCTGGTCATTTCCTTACTGGCGATTCATTAATGAGCTTGCCAGAACCAGATTTCAGCGAGACACCTGACAATCGATTGTCAGCTTGGGAATTGATCCAGAAGAAGCAGCAAGAGTTTTGGAGAAGGTGGTATAAGGAATACCTGAATGAGCAGACACTCAGACAAAAGTGGAACCAAGGGAGCCACGATATTCAAGATGGCACAGTAGTTATTTTGAGGGAAGACAACTTACCGCCTCGACAGTGGTCTCTAGGTCGAGTCATCCAGGTTTACCCAGGGAGTGATGGTACAGTTCGCATAGTTAAAGTGAAAACGGCTAAGGGTGAATTAGAAAGAAACGTTCGTAGACTTTCGCCCTTATTAAATGATCAAAATAATCAAAAGGACAATGCTAAAGACATTAAGTGATCCATAGATATTAGTTTCATGTCATTAATTAATGTTAAATTCTTAGTGAAAAATCATTAATCTTTACTGCCTTATTTTAATTCACATAAGATATTTTCCATAATTTATTAAGAACATTACTCTAGTTCAATCGATTCTAACAAGTTAAATTTTAGAAAATTCCGCAATATTATTATTATTAGTTTGCTAAGAAACCTATTAATTGGTGTTGTTGATCGATTAAGGAGTAATCTATCAAAAAGGGGAGCGTGTTCGGTCGAGAATGTTAAAATACACCAAAAAACGACCGTTAAAAGCCATAAATTTTCCTCCCTAACAAAGACCACATAGAAAAATTCAGTTTAGTCAAATTTCCCAAGTAGAGTCATAAAAAAAAAAGAAACACTTGAAATTTTAGTTTTCTAAACCCTTGTCAACTGCTTCACAGTCAAATCTGTTTTTCTTACAGACGTATGCTTCAACAACACTTTTTCTAAACATGTGAAAGCAATAAAACTCATACAAAGAGGTCCTTTTGACTCTCCGTTTTTTTTTTGTCTTTCCGTCCTCAACAAAGGACCCACAGTATTTTGGGTCTGCTCTGCAGACCACTCAATAGTTTCACGCCTTCTCTTAACTTTTCACCAATAAGAAAATTTTTAATACCCTCTCTCTACAGAAGAACAACCCTCTTTACCCTCACTTTTTACATTATGTTAGACTTAGAAACAGTTCTCCTTCAGATTCCAAAGAGAAAAGACACAACATTTAGTTCTGATCTTATTCAAATATCCGTTATTTTTTATTCATTCAGTAGAATCCTCAACTTTGAGTATTCAGTTTGTTAATATTTTTTTTGTTCTTTTTATACATATAGTGAGTTTAAGTGAATTGTGATTAATTGATTTACAATCCCGTTCCTTTAGACTTTTAATTCTGCAGCTTTCGGGTTACACGTCGTTAGTTGCCGTACAGGAGATTTCATTGACGTACCACGGAGTATACCTGGGCCTTACAACCCCAGGGAAGGGTCGAAATTAAAAATTCGACTATCGCGTCAATAACCCGGTACAGCCAGTCTTCCCCCGGGTGGAAAGATTTGTGAATATTACTTTTTCTTCGTCGCTGCGCGATAAGACGATGGTTGATCAGGCCTCCGTCTGCTTCCAAAAATAAATAACGCTGCCACCAAAATGTTAGTGTCCCGAGCGGTTGGGTTCGGTAATTTGGAAGATTAAGACACTCACGAACGAATACTATAATAATATTCTTTATTTAATTTCTTACTTTTTAGATACCCATCAAGTGTTCAGACTGATACGGAAGGTATCAGGTGAACCGCGATGAGAGTCGAGTTACTGGCCCCGAGACAATGGTCTCTCGAGTATTTATTTAATCGAGAGCCCATGACGTCGTGGTCATTACCTCATATCTGCATGGTGTAATCATAACACCATGCGAATGAGCCCAGTGGAAACTGCTGATGCGAGTTCCACTGGCTTACTTTTAATTGCGAATATACGTGATACATGATTGCACGTATATTCCCAATTGTTTAATAATTACTTAATATTATATTTGGATTTCACAATGTGTGTCACTTATATTGGCATATTGTGAAATAAGTTGCATAATTATGCTCCACTTTTGGGGCATAACAAAAATATAAAATGTTGTCGTTGTAGAAGAATAAAAATTGTTTTTTTCCCATAATTTTTCATTAGTGGAAACCATAGTGTGTTGTTGAGAAAAGATTTATAGTCGTACCAATAGTCTATTCTATCCAGCAGAATAGAAAATATCTATTGACAAATCTCTTTTTCAGTAACAATAATGCAACTCTCCTAAACGACAGACAAACGTAAAAATTTCGAAGAAACATTTTTTTCGAAGCATTCTTTCTCTCTTACATGATGGCGTACTCTTTGCCATCATATATGAACAAAGAATAATAGTTGACAGACTGATTTCTTTGAAAAAAACCGATGATCTCCACTAAAAACTGAAAAACCCCAAAATTTCGAGAAAAAAAAATTTTTTCCACTGCATTGCTTCGCTCTTTTATTATGGCGTATTTTTTCGTATCATATAAAGACATCCTCTATCATAAAAAAAATATTTTGATCGAATATCGAGCGGCCCTAGAGTGAAAAAAAAATGAAAACGCGAAACATTCTCGAAAAACTGGTCTAGAAGCTTCTTGACGGCTCTGAAGTATTTTTCATCTTGAAGTATGAGAAAAAACGAAAATTTTATTTTTTTATTTATCAAAACCGGATGCTCCATTCAGAAGTAATGATTTTTTGAGAATTTCAAGTTTCGTAATGATTATCTCAGAAACAAAAAGTGGCAGGGCAATGAAATTTTGCATGATTACTGGCTATATGTAGTAGTTCAAAATGCACCTACTCAATGATTTTTCCCAGACAAAAAAAATCCGGTGTGGCTGAGTTGACATGGAGTGTCCCATATCGACCATTTGGATACTTAACGTTCACATTTTAGCATGGAGCTGAGGTGTACGTTAGAATATCGTGTAACGAACATGTGGAGATGTTCGTTAGAGATACCACCAGGACCTGAGAACATCCACCTCCGGCGACATTCGGAAACGGATCGTGAGTAGAGAGAGAGAAAGAGAAATTAGGGTTTTGCTTCCCACTCCGGTGTGGTCATGTTTCCGATTATGCCTGGGATAATCGAGTCGTGTTTTTCCGTTTAAGCGGAGTTATTTTTAGTTGCTTCGCGCTTCCGTTTAGTAATTTTGCGGTTTGGTTTCGTTTTTGACTAATAAAGATCTGAAATCACGCGTTTTTGAGGGCTCATAGGGTTATCGTGAAGAAGTGCCAAATTTTAGAGTCATCCTATAACCTTTATGGGAACCACCCTATTGTTAATCTTACGGTCAATCGTTTAGGTCCGGCTGAAATGCCGGCGCTCCAAATAATGATCGATTTTCCGGTGGTTAACTGGTTACGTTTCAGTTTTTCGGTGGAAGGTCACGTGGAACAAGTGCAACCTTTGTATCCCCTGAATATCCAGGTTGCTTAGAGTTTTGGAAAGTTAAGAGAATTAGTTGGGACTATTGGTCTTTTAACCCCGTGAATCCAGGAGAACCGACCCGTAGGAAGCACCAAAAATCCACGGTAATTTTCCGAACGTCCACCGCTTCTGCCCAGATTAATCATTAGTCTATTTTATAAAGTTACATACAGAACAATCAGAGTTGAGTATTTTTTTCGCGTTTGAATTTCCCGAAAGCATTCGTCGGCGCCATTAAACCCCCGGATTGATGTGCTAAAATCTCCGCCAATCAGAGCCCGCCTCTGTTGGCCGGAATTTGCGCTGCGGTTGGTGCCCGTGACACTGACCCAGGGCAGTTAGTTCCGCGTTGACCGTCCCAAACACCTAGTCGCGTGCGAATTTCTGTGTCCATACGACGTGGTTGTGTCTGTACGGATTATTGTGCCTGCAAAGAAGCAGTAAGGATCCAGGATGGTCCGAAAAGGGAAAAGGACCCTCAAAAACCGAAAGACAGTGAGTTTTCTGGTATTTTTCCCCTAATATCGAGCCATTTTTAAATGGCGTCGTTTCCCCTTCATGGCGGTATCCCTCGCGTGGCCTTCAGCCACGTGTAGTGGTTGATCACCCCCCTTTAGTTATATTTGTTGGTCCGAATTTGGCATTATCCCTTATCCCGGATATTTATCCACGGGTCCTTCCGATTTTGCATCGGATATCCCACCCAAATCGGGTCGGTTGCGAGTTCTCCCCCCCTTCCGGTTTACCCCAATCATCTTTTGAGATGATTTTTGGGTTCAGCGAGTGTGTTTGTTCGGTAGTGGAATTCCTGCGTCGTTTCCCAGTCGAAATCGGACGATTTTCGACGTGGGCTATTTGCTTCTACCTCGCTCCTATGGCGAGCAGTATCTCTATTTTCCCTACGTATAAATTGCGTAGAGTTTTTCCCCTCGCGGTAACCCTCTTACGCGCCGACAAGTGGTGACTATCGCTTTCCGTAAGCGTTCCCCCGTTTAAATTTCCCTCCGGATATAACTCAATCTGGAGTGGCTCCCAATGATCCCAAAATTATGATTTTGGTTTCATAGGCTTCGCTAGACTTTTGCGAGCAAGTTGGCTATGGGTTTTTGAAAATTTACTCTACCGAATTTCCGCTAAGGCGAGTTCAGTTTTAGGGAGTTTTTACTTTCCCGCAATATGCCATACGTATATCGCTGGGTTTAGATTTTTTTCTCTCTCACTCTCATGGGGATTCGCATACCGTCCCTTCATTTCTCGACATTCTCGAGTATTTCGGGATTGATCGATAATTTTATTTTTACATTATTGTGTGAGGGATTTGATGACCTCACCTACGGTCGAGTTAATCGAAATATTACTTTCGGACTATATAGTAAGCCTTAAAATATTATTTCCGAGCCGGTATTTGTTATTTAATCAGTTATTGTTATAAACCATTTTTTTGTGAGATCAATGCGAAGAGAAAATCATGTCTATTATTAATTATTCATATTTCAATGGTGAAACACGTAAGAACGATGTCGATTTCTGCTCTTTTTTTGGTAGTTTTGACCACCCAATACCCGTCTCCACCTGAAATCCACCCCTCTCTCCACAACCTAGCACACTGAGCGAACCAAGGACCGTTACCTTTCCCCAGAAATCTAGTTTTCTCCCTTTCCGAGTAAATTTTTGAGGTTTTTGAATTAATTAGAATTTGTTTTGTAGATTCCTCCGGTTTAGTAATTCCGGCTAAAAATTGCCTCGCGCTCATAGATTTTTGCATTTTTGAGTTTAACTAGATGAAGGGGAAGAAGGGCGAAGGTAATAGGCATTTTTAACCCCTATACGAATATGTCACGTTACAATCTCTAACGTACACTTAACGTAAGTTTCACTAACGTGCACGTAACAGGTGCGTTAGAGGCATATGGACGATGTGCGCATCTAAAGTTCACACGTTAACGTGCACATAACGTGTGCCTTGAAGTCTCACTAAC